CTTCAGTGCTCCAGACATACAGTTTTGAAGTCTGTATTTCTCTATCTAAGGGATCCAGATAAAACAGATTACATCTAGAGTCTTGAATTATTCGTAGTGAATCTTCCAATTAAACTTATATTTAAAATAGTTTCAGTTCCTCCTCTGAGAAGTCCACAGCTCTTCATCAGTGAAACAATCTTGTAGCTGCTGTTGGACTTCCTCTGAGTCCAGTTAAGGAACCTCATTTTGAAAACTCTCCCTATCTCTAAAGGATCCACAGCCTCCAAACATACTGTATTCTGACAATAAAAGTTATTCATTTTTGTTTCCATTCTCTGGATGCTCCCATTTGCAACACTTTCTGTGAAGGACTGTCACCAGCTGGCTGGAGACAAACAGCATTTCTCACTGAGCCTTGACAGGCTGCCACTCTACAGTGCCCAGAGCAATGAATTCCTCTCCCATCTCCAGTGACTCACTGTGGCATTTGCCCCTTTGCAGCCTTCTGCTGCTGCTATCAGTGCACTGTGCTAGAGAAAGGACCAAATCTCATTTAAAACAGACGATACATGATGTTTGTTGCTGCAGATGCTTGAAAAACACCAACTTCACCTTCACCAGTAACCAGTTAAAATCAATCATGCTGAGACTTTGCAGGAGGAGCTGGGAAGGAATATTAGGGAATGCTGGTTTTATGCAAGGTAAGAAATGCAGTTGCAAATCTGCAATCCATGAATTCCCAACCAAAACGCAGAGACCTGATAAAAAGAGAAAAATTCTTTCTCCCTGTAGCCATATTAAAAATGTATGTATTTGGTGAACTGAAACGTAACCACTAGGATTCTAAAGGCCAAAATTCAGTATTCTCTAGCAGACAAGTACATCCTGACTACTTTTCTTTTTAGAAATCTTGTCAGTGGAAATTTGGCTTTGCAAGACTGACCTGTCCCCTATCGCCTGCCTCAACTATGAGCCCAAAATTTAAATGCATTTGCCTTATCTTTGATACAACATTTAGTCTTTGACAGGGTTTAAACTACGCTTTATGGTCAGTGGCATTATTGCAATGGTCTTCACAGACCAAATGACCATTTTTGGTGGACTTTATGTTAGTTATTTAAATTGCAACAGATGGTAATTTTTTCAGCAGAGAAAAATTTCTAGTTTATTGCTTTAGGACAAGATAAATAAGGTTGATTTTCAGATGTTTATAGATGAAAATCTGTTAAAGCTGTAGGCCTAAAATGCAGATGTCCTGTCAACTTTAATTAGCTTCTGTGAACCCTAAATTATGTAGTTATTTAAAACTAACCAGGGTGAAGAAAAGCTGTTTTGTCAACTTTCTGTTGTTCACACTCATCCAAAAAGATGACAAAGTGACACTAAAATGTGAATTGTATGTCAGTGAGAAACGAATTCCAAACCCTAGAATTACAAAATGATTCAGAAGAACCTAACAGAGGCTAAAATGAGAGGAACAATAATTTCTTATAGAAAAATCAAAGTGTAAACATACTAAGCATGATGTCAATGAAAACCTGTGATATTTCTTAGGGCAGAGAAAAGCACCTGTAGGGTAGATATGCTGAGAAATCTCTGTAGTTATTCCACTAGAGCTTTTCCACTCACAGTAATACAATGGTGTTGCCACTGTAGTTTAATATGCTCACATTATGTTTGCCAATGGTAATAGAAGAAAAGAATTAATTTTGAAAGATGTTTGCACTATACAAGTGACCACTATTCATTAGTTACACAGTCATTAGGCAAATTTTACAAATCCTCATTCTTCACATCTGAGCACTGTGCAGAAACTTCTCTCTGTAATTACTTTTTACAAAGTGAGAGGGCAGCAGCTTTACTGTTCTTCAACAACAGAATAGTCTGTGCTCTTCTTTATCCTTCCCAACAGAAGACCATTTGGAGAATGGATTATTTTCTGGAAATAACGTACTGGAGTACAAACTAAGAATTTGGGAAGAGACTGTCTTTGCAAACCTCTGTTCAAGTTTGTGTGTACAGAATATAAAGTTTAATCACAAAATCAACCAGATTTCAGATCACTAATTCATCCTCCAATAGAAAACTCAACATCAAAACTGTTACCTCTTGCAAGGAAGAAAGAATATATTGTTGCAGGACTTTTGCAGAAAAAAATCAAGCTCATCACATATGCATTCTCCATCACTGAGACTACTTGTTGTGAAAAATAAAAAAAAGAAAATAACTAATAATATGAGAGGTAATTACTAGGGCTACCTGCAAGTATAAAAAAGCTAACAAATAAAGAGGTAATTTAATTCAAATAACATTCAAATAAATGTGGGTTTCTAACATACGCTCAAAGTTACCATTTAAAATCCTAGCCTATTCTACCTTCTTCTCTCAGAAGAAAGAAAAGCAGATTTTTTTTTCTGATATGGGAGTCCCAGGTCATTGCAGTGGCACAGGAAGTAGATAAAAGTCAGAAAGTGTGCAGTCACTGTAGATGCATATGACACAGTATAAGATGGTCACTTCTTCACTATCAGCCTAATCCCAGGGCTATTTTATCGTCTTCTTCATTAGGAAGATGCAAGATTTTACTCTTCTGCAATTCTGTGCAAAGAGAAAAAGAGGATATTCCTCACAATTGTGGGATATTATAACCCCTGAACAACTGCAGCACTTTGTAATGACTGCACGAGTCATTCCAAAATCTCTTCCATCCTTGGCTCTTTTAACTGATCAATGTATGGGATTAACCTTATAAATAACTAGAAAGATAAGTAACTAGGAAGATAATCTTTAGGTATAAACAAACGTTTTTTATGATGAGGGTCTTTTCTATAGACACATTAATTCAGAATCCTGTACCTGTTCCTCTAATAGCTCTGTGCTTCAGACTCAAAATAGACCTGAAATGCTACTTGAGTGAAGACTTTTGCCTTTTGTAAAAGGATGTATTTTTAGAGGACTTCAGCATAGTTTTTGTTAATCTTTCTTTGCTAGTCTGCACAAGCAACCCTCAGAAATGTTTGTGAAATTCACTTCCATTAGCCAGAATGATACTGAAAGCAGATACTATTCCTGCCATTTGTGTGCATTCACACTGAAATCTCTGACTAGAAAGGGTAAAACCTCTAGTAGGAATGCATCTGATTGAACACAGTCTAATCAAGGAGCTGGGGTGCTGATTGCTATTAAAAGACAAGAATTTCTGAAGTGCCTATAAAATTCAATTTGCTAACATCAAAAGCAAATGACACTGCTAGAACTAAAAATAAATCAAAATTTATCAAGGAAATAGTTATGAATTATTTTTTCCACACTTATACTACTGGAATTCGGTGTTTCAGCACCATCCCCTGAAGGGTCTGTCTTCTGAATCCCATCTTGGGCTGTGCTCACCTCTGCTGTGCCTTTGTCACCGAGGTGAGGCAGTTGTCAGCAAAGAAACGTGTAGAGCAGAAAAAAGAGCTAACAGTAGAGGTCAGCCATGAACTGTAGATTTCCTCTCAAGATTTCTTGCCTGAACAATTCCTGCTGTTTACTGTACACCCAAAAATATCTGGGGCACCTGTGCCAAAACAGCAGTGGGTAATAGGAGTAGGAGGAAAGAAAATGAGTTTCCTTTCCAAAATGAAACAAAGCAAAAATCCAGGTACTAAGAGCACTGCCATGGGAAGGTTGAAGTACAAATGAATAATAATGCTCTTTTTTTCTGCAAATAATACAGAGCTGCCCTAGCAACTCGTTCCTGTCTACTAACTGGTCCAAAAAGGTCAAAATCTCACAGAAAAAAAATACCCACCACAAACCAAAAAACATCAGGTATGACTTGGCTTTTGTAGAGTTACCTTTGCCACTTGCTGGCTTCCACTACCCCCTGGTAAAATTGTTTGGCATGTTGGCTAACTGGAAAAGGGGAATGTTTCAGTCCTCCTATGTGTTACACCTGAAACACACAATGCACCAATGTGCTGGGCTACTCAAGTTGACTCCAGTTTCATCTGTTTTTTTTTTTTCCCTAAACATTTAAAAATAGTTAAACAATAGCTACATAAATTAGGTCAGTGCTTAAACCAAAACAGATAAGCTGGATTTTTAAAGCTAAGAATTAGCATGGACTAATAAACGGTTGTTTAATGGTTATTTGAAAAACAAGCATTTAGTTACCCATTGCAAGTGAGGACACACTTCAAAACCATTTGTACTGAAGTGCAGCTGCCTTGGACATTCATTTAATGCAGCAACTGGATTTGAAGGACAGGGATTTTGACTGAAAGAACCCATGCATGGTCTCAAAAATGTGTTTGGAGTTGCAAATGGGAACCAGACAATCAACAAAATGCATTGAATTTTCTAGGCCAGCTTCCCAACTGTGATGCATTATACCCACGCCAAGCAGGAGCTCAGGCATCATTTTTTCTGTCATATGTTTGTCAAGCACTGAACCCAATGCCTCATGGCCATGGCTGTTTTCCCCTTATCTAGACAAAACATCCAGCACCTGAGCCCACAGCCCTGCATCTGCTGGATGAAACATAATTTTTGCCTTCACTCTCCTGCCCTAAATGTGACCAAGCTCCAGGTTGAGGTCAGCAGTTCTTGCCCTGGGTGCCCACCCTGACTGCCTGCCCCTGGCCCCCGGCAGTGGATATCCTACCCGGGGCACTCTGCTGCCCTTTGGGCTAATTCACGCCTTCCACAGCAGCAGCCGCTGCCGATGGCGAAGGAGAATGACCGAGCACCTGTGCCGGGGAGAGCAGGGATGCTGGAGGCCAGCTCTGTGGCCCTGGAGGCCCTGATGCCCTGTGGCTTTTGGGCCAGCGTGGGCAGGGTGTGCTCCTGTGCCGGCTCCCCTTCCCACCTTCCCTCCCAGCCTTGGCTCCCCTCGGTGCCGCTGCGGGAGCCCGTCCCCGGCGGGGCTCGGGGAGGGCGGCAGGCGCGGCTGCCCAGCAGGGAAGGGGCCGCCCCTGCCCTCGCCTCTATAATGCCGGGCCCCCCTCGCCCACCACTCCTCATCGCTTCTGCTGCTGCAGCCGCCTGCGAGCGGCTCCGCTCCCTTCCCTCCGGCCCGGGGTCGCCCGAGGATTAGGGGCGGGAGGGAGCTCCACCGGCGGGAGGCAGGGCGCGGAGGCGGGTCCGTCAGCATCCCTGCGCTCCGCTCCGCCCGGGCCGGCGGCGCCGTAGGGCGAGCAGCGCTGCAGGCGCAGGAAGGGGCCGAGTTGCCGGAGGTCCCCGGGGCGCCGGCGGCTCCCTGAGGGCCGGATCCGCGGCGGGAGAAGCCGCGGCTGCTGTTGCTGTGTCCGTCCGTCCCTCGCGGCACCGGCGCTCCCAGGATGGGCCTCCCGGAGCTGGGGCTGTGGCTGCTGGCGGCGGCGGGGATCGTGCGCGGTGAGTGAGGGGGCGCCGGCCCCCCGGGCAGCGCCAGCAGCAGCGGTGGGGCGGGCGGGACAGCCGGGAACGGCAGGGATGGCAGGGACAGCGGCCCTGGTCCGCCCCGGCACGGCGGGTCTCCCCTTCAGCCTCTCTCCGCTGCGTCCCCATCCCCGGCCGCACTGGGGGCTTGCGGGGCTGGTTCCGGCCGGGAAGGGACACGGGAGACGGGCAGAGCGATGGGGTTGGGGGGGGGAACTCCGTCAAGGGACTTAAACGGTGACTGCTCCAGGGCAGAGGCTGCGGCTTTAGGCTCAGGACTAGAAAACTGGGAAGAGAGAAGTCCGTCTGGAATGGGACAAGGAGGGCTCGCATCCAAAGGACCTGTTCCTACCCTGCCCCATGTTCCATTTCATTCGAAAATGCCTCTGTCCCTGGTCTACGGTGCTTCATCCATGTGGATCTGCTCCCTCTCCCTTCGCAGAAAAACGGCAGAATAAAAATTGGATCTGAAGCGTAAAAAGGACAGAAATCCCTGAATATTATCATGTATATTAATATAGCACCTCTCAGAGAGAGAGAGAAGCGTACCCCTCTTCTTTCATAGCTGCATGAACAGAGAACAAAGTGGAGAGTACTTGCCCCAAAGAGTTCTTGGTCTGAAGCAGCCTGAGAGTAGGATTTGGTCTAACCTGTGGCCATTTTTCTCCCATTGTCTTGCTGATGCCCTCTGCTGTATCTCTGTTCTGCTGTTTTGCTTAGAGCTGTGCCAGGACAGGTGTCAGATCACAGGTAGTGTGTTTCCTCCTCATCACCTCTTGCTGCTGGACCAAAGGGTGTGTATGTTGAGCAAGCATCACTAGCATTTAGAATTTAGCACTCCTGGCCAATCAAGAAATTATCAAAGAGGCAGTCTCCCTTACAAGCTGGGATGAACAGAGTAATGCATTTGTGTTCTGGATTTTATTGTAGTAGCTAATGAACTACGTGAAATACAGTGGCATTTTACTGGGAATGCAGCAGGTGTAATAAACACAATATCTGGTAGCAGTAAAAAAGCACGTCTCAATTTTTCTGATATAGAATCCTAATTATTTATATATTTTTTTGTGTGCCCAAAGAGTCCCTACAAGGAGAGTTCCAAAGGAAGCTTTACAAGGAACTGCTGAAAAATTACAACCCTCTAGAGCGACCCGTTGCAAATGATTCCCAGCCACTCACTGTCTACTTCACTCTCAGCCTCATGCAGATCATGGATGTGGTAAGTGTGTAACCTTCTAGGAAACTATTTCTTTCAAGGGGTGGATTTTTCCTTCCTGGAACAGAGATGTGCCATAGCAAAGGAAGATTACAAGATATTGGAAAGCACAAATAATTCAAGACACAATGCCAAATTTTGACTTGCTTTTTAAAGAACTAAACCGAAAAGTTAAGATTCTTAGATCTCTTGTCAGAAATTCCGAATCTTCTTTGCAGTACAAAATACTTCAAGGGAGGATCAAAATATTTACTTTGCGTTTTGAATCCTTAACTATACTTAGAACTAACAAGCAGTGTAGTCTGGGAGGGATATGCAGAACCAAAGCTCTTGATTTCTGTGGGCACTTAAGAGCTTCTTATAGCTGGAGATGGAGGAGAGAAGAAATCTTGGCCAAAATCTAAATTATATTATTTCTTGTGGTATTTATACAAGATTGCTACATTTTATATGCTTAAATATCTGCTCTATTTGCAACCGTTGTTGCTTGGTATATCAATAGATATTCCTGTGCCGTGCTTGTAAAATGGACTGTAGGATCTGTTGTGTTCAAATATGAGTAATTTAAGCTTCACTCTGTCGCAGCTGCACAGAGATGAAACTCAACATATGAGTGAGCTTGCAGTATTTGTATTTGAATTCAGCTAGCTATGATAACCAATGAAGAAGTTAAATGCTTAAAACTGTAGTTAACCTAAAAATGCCAGTATCTTCCCCCTAAGATGTTTAAAGTTCAAGGCACAAGAAAATGATAAAAGAAAAAAAAAATAAAGATAGGATTATTCATGACAAGTAGCTTGCTATCTGTTCCCTTGCATGCTAGCAGTTGCCAAAGTCCAGACACTGTTTATTTAGTATTTGAAAGTCAGCAGACACAGAACTCTGCCAGTGCTTTATAGTTTCTATGCCTGTTTTTGAAAGTTTTAGATTTATTAGACCTAATGTGAAACTGTGTATTTTGGGTTTGATATTTACTATCTGCCAAAGTGGAGTAGGCAGTCACAGTCAGTGAGCTGTTTCCCTGGTGCCACTAAAGCCAATAGGAAAACTCCATCAGTTTCATCCTTGTTACAGCAGCTGAGTTCTAATGTCTGTGATACCAGTGAGCAGAACAGGAGCTGTATGGAGTCATATATTCCCTGAGTGACGGTGGGTGAAGAACGCATGTTATGCAGAGTGCAACAATTTCAGAGAGTGCTGGCAGATTGAACTTGAAGCAGGCTGTGGCTGCACTGCACAGGCATCTGAGAGCCAGGAGAGGACAGCCAGGTATTAGATCCAAACTTTGATGTGAGATAAAAGCCTGTACCAGTGGGATGATACAAGGAATGACCCCAACAGCCTACTGAATGTATGTGGGCCTGCTGTTGTTGTTAATGGTATTTTTTATGGGTGGGCTTAGAGATTTGGAAAAAAGGGGATCTCCTCATGCTGGATGCTCTCCTAACACAGAGTCAGCCTAATTAGACAAGTAAGCAAGAATGCTTTTTGACAATGACAGACAACAGAGAAAGTGTAAAAGCAAGGAACAGCGCAAAATGAATAAATGATACCGTGTTAATAAGGGGTGCATTAATTCTGAGTCATCTTTTAATTGGATTTGTTTAGAATGTATCAAGGTAACACAAAGAATGAGTTATTTGAAGGGCAATGTGAGCCATGAGGACAGGACAGGTCAGAGGAAACTAAGAGAAAGAAGCTGAAGTGCAGTGTGGAACAGACAGCGCTTCAAAGGTCTAAATGCCTGAAGGTCCCCAACCAGGTTACTGCTGCAGCTTCTCACTGTCTCCAGCCTTCAGCGGTTGCTTGCCATGTAGACAGGGCAGGAATAACCACTCAGTTCTCTTAGCCCCTCATCTGTGTGAAGGAGCTTTTGTCTCACTCCTCTTTCCAGTTCATCAGGCCCCTTAGTGGCTTCTGCAGCAGCTCCTGCTGGCTGGAGTCTTCAGCTGCATAGCTCTGGATTTAATTAGATTTTTATCTTTGTATTCAGGAAGGCTCAGCCAGTCTGTTCAAGGCCTGTTCAAACTGGGTACCTGAACAAAATGCCCCATTTTAATGTGTCTCTGCAGAACTCAGCACAGTACATGGTGCTTCCACTGAATCTTAAACCAGGCTTCAAAAAACCCCCTTCTCAACCATGACTTTGTTTATAGGGACTTCTTCTGTAGCTCCCTGTAGGGAAATGACCTTCTGCTGCAGTATGTGCCTTCTCGCAGCTACTGGAGGAACTTTTGCTTTGGCACGGCACAGTACAGTACAGTTGCCTTCAGAGGATTTTTGTACTACTCAAGTTTTTTCCCCAGCTTTCGTAAACGGCACTCTGGTGTCATAAATCATGCAGAATTAGCCTGACTATGTTAAGGTAACGTATTTTTGAATATTTACCACCCCAGGAAAGGTTTGTTGTACGGCCAAACACTCCTAGTGATGACACAGCTTACAGAAGCCTTCTGTAGGTCATCAGAAATGTTTCCTGAACAGAATAGCCTGAATGCCAACAAGATGTTTTTTTCTACATAAATTGCATCTGTACTATAAAGGTTTCATTTGCATTTCCTTGAGGTAATAATGGGTCTTCCATACACTTCTGATGTGGTTATAGCCATGTTCTTGACTGGAAGTATGAACAGTTGGCTGTTGGAGACACAAATGGCAAAAGGCCAGCAGGTAGTCAACTTTGTAGAGTTAATTTCTTCTGGAGTTGTCAAATTTAATTAATAACCATATAAAACAAAGGGATCACTACATACAAAACACAGATCACTAGCCAATCTGGGTATAGTAGTGACTGGCAGTCTTGGCTAATATGATTCAAAATGGAGTTTTTGATCCCACGTGCCTTTCAAAAACCCCTTCATCATCAATAAGAAACGATAGTTTTTGTACTGGCTGTTTAGTTACAGCTCTTTCTGCTTGTCATAAAACTCACTGCCTTTCTTTCTCAGAGGTCTGGGATTGACAGGCAGGGAAAGAAACCAACCATGAAGTAAATTAAGCTTCACACTATAAAACAAATGAGTTTTCTTCATTGTCAACAAGAAGCCAATGTTGTGGGAATGACAGCTACTTGCAATAACAATTACTGGTTTAACAAGCTAGAAACAAAACATGTCACCATCATACTTAGCTGTAGTTTATATATTCCCTTTAATGGCTTCTCAGCTGTTAGCAGCTGAGTCTAATTGGGAGTTAGACCTATCCAGAGCTGATCCATCAAATCCCTGCCAGAATAGATTGAGCTAGGCTGGATCCTGGCTGCTGCTATTCCTTACTTGAGGTCTCTTCCATTCCACTCTGACTATGCTGACAGGAAAGACAAGACAGTAGATGAAATCTTTTTTAAACACAGTGGATGTTTCCTACCTTACATTTTTAGCTTAACCCTTCCTTTTAAAACTAGACGTTATTTCTATTCAATGCTTGCAGATATTTTATTGGTATTGTACATTATTATGCATGCTAGTGTCAGAGCTACATAATGATGGATCTGTAAATGCCAATTGCCCCAATTTAGTGTAGTTCACTAGAAAATAGAGTTAATGAATTGTCTGATGAGAATGCAAACTGGCATTATAAATTATACAAGATGTTTCTAAATGGGGAGGAAGAACAGTGGCAGCATGAGAAAAATGCAGTTTGGGGACACACGAGTGAAGCTGAGAGCTGGGAAACTAAGGGAGTGCTTAGATGGGGAGAGGGAATGCTTAAGATACAGCAAAGGAATTTGGAAGAAATGTGGAATTTGTGTGGAAGAGGATGAGAGGCAAAATGGAAAGAAAGAGAATTGAAAGAACGAACTTTAAAAAACCTGTGTCAAGTTAACAAGAACTTCCAAGACGGAGATCCTGGGTGTCTTTCAGTTTGTTTTTTAACTCTAGTCCACTCCTGGTCTTAGCTGTGATAGATTTAATTTTCTTAGTAACTGGTACAGTGCTGTATTTTGGATTAGGATGAGAATAATGTGGATAACACACTGATATTTTGGTTGGTGCTAAGCAGTGTTTACAAGTCAAGGACTTTTCAGCTTCCCACACTACATTGCCAGGGAGGAGGCTGAGGGGCACAGGAAGCTGTGAGGGAACACAGCTGGGACAGCTGATCCCAGCTGACCCAAGGAGTATTCCAGACCATATGGGACCATCCTGAGTGTATGAACTACAGGGGGCTGCTACTTGGGAACTGGCTGTGCATCGGTCGGTGGGTGGTGAACAACTGCACTGTGTATCACTTGTTTTGTGTATTCTAATTATTTTATCATTATTCCTTTGCTGTCCTAATAAACTGTATTTATCTCAACCCATGAATTCTACAGCAATCAGATGTGTGTTGTTGTCGTGGTTTTGCTCTGGGTCAATTTGTTTTCCACCTCCCACACAATTACTACTAGTTGAGAGAAGGTTTTTGCAGACAAAAGAGAGACAGGATTTGGGGAAAATAGTATATACATTTATTACTAGTAAAACAAAAACTACTAATAAATTAAAAACTAAAGAACTATATCTACAACAATTTCTACTCAAGTTGAAGTGCTATATATTTACAGAAATATTTCTTCCTCTTTTATACTAGTCTAAGGAGAAGAAGTAGTCTCATTCCCTATTTTTGGAGTTCCAGCTCTCTCTCTCTAGTAATAGATCTTCAGTAGCAGCAGTATTCTCGTTGCAGCTGGAATTTTTTTCTCTCTCTTTCTCGCTCTGTGTTGGCTTCCAGGGCTGGGTTTACCCTCCTTCTGGGCTAAGACCAAAGGCTGGAGGTTACCCAGGTCCTGAAGGGTCTTCCTTCCATAGGCTTGCAAGGGGACACTTGCTTACTATGGATCTTTTTCCACAGGGTTACAGGGCATAATGGCTTAAGAGTTCACCCGTTTCCCTATGGATGTCCCTCCCCATGGGAGAACAGTCCTTGATAGACTTCTCGGCATGGGTCTAGCACGGATCCACACACACACGGATCCCAACATCTCACATGGGCTGTCTCGCTCCAGCATGAGATTTCTCAGG